CTGTGGTCCTGTGATCAGATTGGCTAGTTTTCTGTGACTATGGTTTTAGTGTGCCTGCCCTCTGATGCCCTCTCACAACACCTACCGTCTTATTGGGTTTCTCTTACCTTGGACGAGGGGTATCTCTTCACGGCTGCTCCAGCACAGTGCAGCCGCTGCTCCTTACCTTGGACGAGGGTATCTTCTCACGGCCGCCCCTCCTGACCTTGAACGTGGAGTAGCTCCTCTCAGCCCTCCGCAGCAGCTGCTCCTTGGAGGTGGGGTAGCTCCACTCAGCCGCTGCCCCTGACCCCAGGTGTGTCTTAATTATCTCAGCTACCTTATTTTCTTAATAAAATATTAATTTCATTTTTGCTCAATTTGTGAACTTTTGAAGCTTTTTTTCCAGTCATTGGTATGCAGCTTAGGTTATCTAGAACTTCATTATCCTCTCGGATAGCCCCTAGCCACGTGAGTATTTAAACTCAAAATTTAACTAGGTAAAATTAAATTAACATTTAGTTCCTCAGTCACACTAGTCACATTCAATATTTTGCTTAGGTACTTTTGGCAAAAGTATTGTTTACACTTTTTAATTTCTCCAAAAATAAAAACTGTGTTCCTTCAGGCTTGCTCTCTATAACATGCAGATTTCTTTTAAATCATGAGATGTGTCTTAATTCTCAGTCAAGCTGGGGAATAACACACCACATCTCTTAAGTTAGGCCACCCTCTCTGCTGTGTCGTGACGTGTCCCCATCTCCACATTTTGTGATGTGTCTCTTTTCCCCTCGAACAGAAGGATCCATGTATTTTAATTTGCATATCTCCAGTGACTAGTGTCACTCCAGTGACAGTGATTGGCTCATAAAAGACAATAAAATTTTGTTCAGTGAATTTTTTCCAAGCTTTTTAAAAAGTACATATAAGTATATATGTTTTAATTATACCATCACAAGTTAGTTTCCAAAATAATATGATAATATAAAGATGTTTTAATTAGCTCACGAAATTTTTGATCATCCTTCCTAATTCAAAGATCACTAAGCATCTGTTATATGAAAAACTCTAGCTTATAGTTTGGCAACTAAGACAAAAAGGTGCATGTTATTAATTGTAGTATGAGTACTTCTATAAGTATAAACAAAATATAAGTAGACATTACACATTTAAGTAAATAACACTTGTGTTATGACTCATATATTTTGAATTATGATAAATATTTTTACTTGATGACCAAGCTTTATTTCTTTGTACAATTCTAGTTCCTTTTATAGCAAATTATTTTACTAGTGATGATGTAGTTGGAATAGTATTATTTACTCGTGGCAGGTCTTTTTCCATAAGATCTAAAGTAGACTAAATTTTTCTTTTGCATTGTATCACTTTTAGGTCTCCAGATATTTATGGAAGATTGGCATAGCTATATCTTGTTCCAAATTTTCATTATTCTGATTTTACTGATAAGTGAATTTTTGCTTCTTTTAGGAGGATTTTCTATGGGAGGGTGCATGGCAATGCATTTAGCATATAGAAATCATCAAGATGTGGCAGGAGTATTTGCTCTTTCCAGTTTTCTGAATAAAGCATCTGCTGTTTACCAGGTAAGTTTCAGATTTAAAAAGCAAAACAGAAGGAAAAAAATGAGACATACACACATTGAAAGTAAAATGACATTGATAATTACACAATAACGGTTGCTTCACAGAGCATTCCTGGGAATTCATGGGCAAATTAGCTATATTGATTAATTCCAGCTGGTCATTCTTGTTTAGGAAATGCCTTGTACAAACAATATTGTTAATCAAAGTTTCAAAGGGGAAAGGATAAAAAATACATATATAATGTATATGAGTCCTGTCTACATATTAAAAACATAGATAATTATAGCTCGGTTTGCTAATTATGACTTAATCAAACCAAAGAATAAGTTACATAGCTGACACCTATTTCGCAGCATTATTCCTAATTTATGAATGGAATATAACAGTGATTCAGCCTCATTACCAGGAATAGAACCAGCAGGTACAGAAATGAGAACAAGAATGCCATTTTTCCCTTGTTTTCCTCCCTCTCTCCACTCTTTGCGAAAAGGGTTGTCTTCCCAAGACACAGGGTTTCTTCAGGAAGTGCTCTGACTGTTTTGAAACAGCCCTCTATGGAGTGAGTGCAGGTCCCACACAACTGCAGCTCCTGTAGTGCCATCAGCCAGCTAGGCTCCTGAGCCTAGGCCATCAGTATTTACCTTGGGCATCGCCGCCACTACCACTTTTTCCCCTTTAGATATTGAAGCTTTGCTTAAACTGAGATGTTTCTGCCCTCCCTGACTTCCAAGAGTATATACTGTTCTTAAATGAATTTCTTAAACTTCTCCATGTTTATATCCTCTTCTCTAGGCTCTTCAGAAAAGTGACGGTGTTCTTCCTGAATTATTTCAGTGTCATGGTACTGCAGATGAGTTAGTTCTTCATTCTTGGGGTGAAGAGACAAATTCAATGTTAAAATCTCTGGGAGTGAGCACGAAGTTTCATAGTTTTCCAGGTGTTTACCATGAGTTAAGTAAAGTGGAACTAGAGAAACTAAAGTCATGGATTCTTACAAAGCTACCGGACTAAGTCAAGATTGATGAGTTAATATACAAGTAATGTCTTTATCAACAGTTTATTGACTTACTTTTTTTTAACATACTGAGCACCGTGGGGAGTAGTGTGATCTTACTAATGGTAAACATTAATTTAGGCAAACATTGGTGTATTATTTGTCAAATTCTTTTTAAATATTTGGAGGCCTTGTAAATAATTGAATATTGAAATTTTACAATAATTAAACTAGCTTAACAGCAATGAGAAATCATGAAACGATTTTAGCATGGTATTATTTTCATTATCATTTTCTTTAAATTGCCTTTTTAAAGTTTATGTATTCACATTTATTTTATTTTTGAAAGAATAAAATTAGTGCGTGTATGCTCAGTCGATCAGTTGTGTCCAGCTTTTGTCATGCTTATGGGATTCTCCAAGCAAGAATACTGGAGCAAGTTGCCATTTCTTCCTCCAGGGGATCTTCCCAACCCAGGGATCAAACCCATAGCTCCTGCGTTGGCAGGCAGATTTTTTTACCACTGAGCCAACAGGGAAGCCCAAATAACATTGGACCCCATGTTTACAAAGTGGTTTCCCATTATCTCACCTGATCATCACTAGAGCTTGATGAAGTTAGCAGAACCAGTTGTTACTGGTATTTGATAATAGTGATAGAAGGAATACAGACTTTCCCAGAGCCTCAAGAGTGAAGACTAAAATCCAGGCTTTCTGGTCCCAGCAGAGCTCCTGTTCTCTGAACCCAGACTGCTGCTCTGCTCCAACCCTAGGGTTCCAGTTGCTCTCCGGACCCTAGTCAGTACTCCGTATGGTCTGTCTTTTAAAAAAATTTTGTCCATTCTAGTGGGTATATAGTCTAACACTTTGTGTTTTTAATTTGCTTTTTCTTAAAATAATTTTTATATGCTCATTTGCAATCTATATAAAGTCTTTGATGATATCTTTATTCATATCTTTCGTGTGTATTTTATTAGGCTGTTTTTCTTATTGTATTGTAAGAGCTGTTTATATATGCTGGATAAAAATCCTTTGATAAATAGATGTTTTACCAATATTTTCTTAATCCATGGCTTGCCTTATTTTCTTTAGAGTGTAATTCAAAGAACAGAAGTTTTTAATTTGATGAAGTCCAGTTTATTCATTTTTTTAAATTTATAGTCTGTGCTTTTGAAGTCCTATTTAGCCAATCTTAAGAAAGCCAAGGTCACTAAAATTTTCTCATATTTTCTTCAACTAAAATACTCCTTTAGTGCTATAAATCTTCCAAGTTTTATATTAGAAGCATCCCACGATTTTTATATTTTGTGTTTTCACTTTCATTCAGGTCAAATCTTTCTAAATTCCCTTTTGATTTCTTCTTTAACCTTTGGGTTGTTTAAAATTGTGTTATTTTGTTTCAATATACTGGCAATTTTCTAAAGATCTTTGCTGTTGATTTCTAATGTATGGTTAAGAAGTATTCTTTTCATGAATTGAAACCTTTTAAATTTATTGTGACTTTTTTTATAGCCCAGAATATGTTTCACCCTAGATAATATACATGTTTCAATGCTGTTCGGACCTGGTGCACTGGGAAGACCCAGAGAGATCCGGTGGAGAGGGAGGTGGGAGGGGGGATCGGGATGGTGAATACATGTATATCCATGGCTGATTCATGTCAATGTAAGACAAAAACCACTACAATATTGTAAAGTAATTAGCCTCCAACTAATAAAAAATTTTAAAAAAAAAAGACTTTGCAGCAGAATATGGTCTGTCTTGGTGTTTTGTGTACCCCTGAAAACAGTACATGCTGCTCATGTTAGGTGGCATACATATCAGTCAGGGCAAGTTGGTTGATATTTTTGTTCAAATATACTGTACCCTTACCTATTTTCTGCCTCTTTATTTTATAAATTATTGCGAGAGGAGGATTGAAAGTTCCAACTGTAACTGTGAATTTGTTTCACTTGGCAATTCCTTCAGGTTTTGCTTTATGTATTTTGAGACTGTGTTATTAAATGCATAAACATGTAAGACGATTATGTTCCTCTGATGAATTGGCATCTTTTTCTTTATGAAATGATAATCTTTATCCCTGATAGATTTTTTTGGGGGGAGGGGGCTCTGAAATACTCACTGTGTGGTATTGTTATAGCCCCTCTAGCTTCCTTTAGACCCGCGCTGATACTGGATTGTGAGGTTGCACACACTGACTGGTGGGAACTCAGACCTTTCCAGCCCTCTCTGAGCCTCAGCGATGTTCCTTTTAGGTGGCTCTTATTTTCTTACACATATCTGGTGGTGAACACTCTGCTAAAGATTTGAGAGGGCCTTCTGCAGAACCCTGGCACTCTTGCAACTCTCTAATCCTCTGTTCTGTAACTCTAAGCCTCTCGATCTTCTGGACTCCCTCAGCTCCCTCTGAGTCTCCTCTCCACGCTGTGGCCTAAAAAACTCTTCACACAATAAGCTGGGCACTTAAACCTTCCTAAAAGGTGACCATCCTGTAATACCAGTGCCCAGTATCTGAAAATACAGATGTGGCCCAGCTTAGTTGTTTCAGGCCAAAAACTAAACCTGGTCCCTCTTGTTCCATCTTGGCTATCTTAAGCAGAAGTCCCTTATTCTCCTTTTATTTGAAGCTATAAACTATAAATTTGAAGAGGGAGGGATTGAGGAAGAAACAGAAGGAGAGAAGAAGAGAGACTGAGACTTAAAAGTCCATAATGCCCTCAGAGAAGACTCTGCAGTGTTTTAATTATCTTAAGCTTTTAATGAACTTCAATTTCTTGAAATTTTAAATGGTCTGACTTGAATATACATGGTATCATTCCTGTTCTCATGTTGAAAGCCCATTTGGCTGCAATTTGCCCTAAGAGTAGCATATGTACATATCATAGATAAGGGTGTCAGGCTTATATATGTTGAGTATATACATACCAAATAGAGTATAAGAGAAAGGAATCTAGATTTAATTGGTGAATGTTGGTCCTAGAACTTAATTATGTGCATGTGTACTAAGTTGCTTCAGTGTGTTCGACTCTTTGCAACCCTATGAACTGTAGCCCGCCAGTTTCTTCTATCCAAGGGATTCTCCAGGCAAGAATACTGGAGTATGTTGCTGTGCCGTCCTGCAGGGGATCTTCCCGACCCAGGGATTGAACCCACATCTCTTTACGTCTCCTGCGTTGGCAGGTCTGCGTTGGCAGGTGGGTTCTTTACCTCTAGTACCACCTGGGAAGCCCTTAATAATTAGGTATGCTGGAATAAATCTCAGTCTCTGCCACAGATTACTCCTTTGTAAAAGTGTTTGAGGATCAAGTTTTATAGCACATGTAAAAACCTTTAAAATAAAGTTACAGAAATCGAAGGTATTGCTAGACTTGTTTTACCAGAGGTAGCAGGATGTGTGCATGTAATGGTTATAAATCTGTCTTCACAGTTTGATCTACACGTAGAAGATATATCTAAATATTTTATATAGATAATCTTCCATCCAGTTCTAGTCCCCTACCCATTAGGCTGATAGGATATTCAGCCTTAGTTATCTTTTACTGTTTTACCTCATTCCAAATTATGCCAGTCTGGGGCCCCCTTGCATAGAGCAGTATCTTCAGGGGAGTCCCTCCAATACCCAGTGCTCACTCACCTTGAGATAAGTATTATCCATACAGTGGTCTCTCAAAGCCAAGTGGTCTCTGAAAACCACTCAGCCATTTTCTTCCTGTTCTGTTGCTTCACCCACATAAACATTTCCTAAGGCAAGAGAGTTGGAACAGTCTTGAGACTTTTTTACCTGGTAGAGGAAGAATGGCAACAAGAGGAAAACATAAATCAGTATTACAATAAATTATACGTGCTTATCTGTTGGAGAGATTGGAATTTTGCAAAAGAGGAGAGAGAAAACTAGCATGTAAGTGAAAGAAGACATTCACTTTTTACTCTATATTTCTAATGTTTGAATTTTTATAATGGGCTTTACTGGTTTTGTAATCCTTAAAGTGAAGTGAAATGTTTATTAATGGCATTTTTCCTCAACTAAAGACTGAACAGGAAGGCTCACCCTCTGGTTAGAAAATTAAATGTTTTCTTTATAGGAAGTTAATTACTTCAGCTAAAATATGGCAAGATGTACTCAGAACAAAATATGAAGCATACTAGCCATTTGGTTGTTGACAATTCATTGTACTTTGATATGTAAAATAAAATATCCAGATATCACTCAGCCAGAATATGCTTAAACCATAAGTCTTTATCATATAAAAGGAATTTCTTAATACACAATAAGAGAACAGAATTACCAAAGCCATCCAGACATTTCAAGAAAACTCAGTTTATATAATACACAAAGACAGCTGCTTCACAAAACTTTGTGTATAATTTTAACACGAGAAAAGCTAGAATTATATTTACAGAGAACAAATGTACTGTTGTATAAATTTTGATTCTACTTTATAATTTACCCTTTAGAAATAGTTTCTGTGGGTATGTATACACGGGTGTAGTCTTCTGAAGGGAGGTGTAGTCTCAGCCTATTCCTACACTGAGGATAAGATGCACACCCCCTCATGTGTTATCTGTGTCACATTTGTTAAATTCTGCCATTTAGCTGCAACCCGATCAGCTCAGTGAGTTTCATACAGCATTGCATTAAGGCTACTGTGAACAGGATTCCAAATGCCAGAATGCAGTCAACCTGTAGCACTGCCCTCAGCTGTGGATCCCAGGGCTGGGGTCCAGTCCAGCCAGACAAATCCTGTGACCTAGTTAGGATGTGCCTTAGGAGGCCAGCTGTCCTTATGTTTCTGCATTAACCTTCCTACTCAGACTGAAGCATTCACCCAGGCACTGCGGGAGCAATTGCACAGACTCCACCTTGGCCTGTGAGGCCACAATCTCGGACAGTGTAGCCTCCACAACAGCCACAGCCATGAATTTAAGTGGACCTGAACACTTCCAGGAATGAAATAGTATCATTGATCATTTTAACTCAAGATAGGCACAAATTTCATACCAGTTTTTCAAAGTGGATGGTTTCCATTGTAAGATCACATCCCTTAGGCTGTACTTAAATAACAAATTGGTTATCATCTCTCTAGTAAGCTCACCCAAATAATCAAGGTAGCTTCATCTTGGAAGGATCTCCAATCATCCTAGACCTGCATGAGCTGTTTGTGGTATTTCCTAACACACTTGAAAGCCTATTATGGCAGGTGAAAGTCACTCTGTTTTCCAGCGATACAAGTTAATACCTACATTACAATTGTCAGGCCCTTCAAATGGGACCTGCGTCAGCCAAGGGCACAGATAACTGTCTCCAGCATGACCTGACCAGCTGAGAAGCCCAAGTTCTCAGTTCAGTTTAACAATCGAGTTTAGTCCTTGTTTTTGCAGAAAATGCCCCAAGGGAAGTCACCCCGGCCTATGCTCTTTATCCACACCACCTGGTGTGTGGCATTTGTCCATACCACAGAATGAAAAAGGGACAGTTATGAGAAGGGGTGTAGGAGAGAGAATTCAAAGGGTGGGGTATGCTGACAGGTGTTTTTTGTTAGGGAAGGGTTTCTTCAGGAGCTGGGGGCCATCCCAGCTGTTTCCACAGACTTAGTAAGGCTAAGAAGTTGTTATTCAGTTGCTGAGTCATGTCCAGCTCTTTGTGACCCCATGGACTGCAGCATGCCAGGCTCCTCTCTCCTTCACTGTCTCCCAGAGTTTGCTCAGATTCATGACTATTGAGTCGGTGATGCTATCTAACCATCTAATCCTCTGCTGCCCCTTTCTCCTTTTGCCTTCAGTCTTACCCAGTATCAGGGTCTTTTTCAATGAATTGGTTTTTTGCATCAGGTGCCGAAAGTATTGGAGTTCCAACATCAGTCCTTCCAGTGAATATTCAGAGTTGATTTCCTTTTGGATTAACTAGTAAAGAAGACTGGTAAGCAAGTCTTGAATCTTCTGTGAGGTTCAAGAAGGTGGCAGGAGGTAGAGAGGTGGCAGGCCCAGCAGTCAATTAAATTTAAGATGCTTGTAACAGTTTGGGAAACTCACCAGGGTGTTTTTAAGCTTGAGGAAAGCTCCAGGGGTAGTCCTGAAGACAACAATCAATGTCCCTCTCATTCCTATAAGTTCCTGGAGTTAAACACGTTCTTTCCTTTTGCTTTCTCTCCATTTATTCCCAATATATGTCCTATTCCAGCAGCTGTAACTTCATCTTTTCTCTACGTGACCATTACTTGCACCCAGACCTTTCATCCAGGCAGGTTGGGTACAAGCAGGACAAAGGTATTTTTATAAAACCTGCAGAGACCCATCATGCCCCACACTTTGGCTCCCCACTACAGAGGGACTCAGCAAACACTGTGCTCAGCCAATTAGTCATCTTATTTATCTAAGATCATGTCATTGAAATAAATCCATGTTTGTAAATCAGAGTAATTTGAATTCCCTGTCTGCTTTTACATGTAGCCTCCCGAAGGTTTACCAACCAGACTTGCCTGATTGCCAATGGGGAAAAGAGGAAGCATCACACTCTGTGGTCAAGAAGAACTTCAGAATCTCAAAAGAGCTTTATATA